TTTCCGAGGTTATTCTTGTTCCGTTGGAGCTAATCATGCATCTAAAGTGGAGTGAAACTGCGGCACAAACAAAATTGCTTCCGAGGTAACTTAATTTTACATTCATGAAAATGAGCTAAGAATGTAAAAATAAGCACTCTTTAGTGGTTGTAAACCATGAGTAAAGTTAAGTTCATCTCCGTATTGTAAAAGGCAATTTGCGAAAAATTCACAAGACAGGCTTGGTCCGTAAGCTTTGCATCTTACAGATTATGGAGCTTAGAGGTTCTTGACTAAATCGAAGTGGTCCCATTATGATCGTGATTGTAGAAAGGTGATGAAGAACAAGGCGATATACAGATAACGAGTGAGTGGAATCGTTGTTCGACATATTTGCCATCAAGGTCGACTGAAGGCTTTATCAATTCTTGCACTCATGATGATTGAATGCCCATGAACTGATTATCTGGTCGTTATAACGGCTTATGTTTCTATTGCTCAAAGTACTACCAAAATTCTTAGGAATGTACAATTTTACGAAATTCTCAATTGTTGATCAAATGTGAAATGCTTGAGGATCAAATTCGTAAAAGCCAAACAGTATCTCCTCTCCATAAGTTGGTGTGGGGCTCATTTGAATAATTTCAAAAAATTTTCACATACAGGGTAAATCACAAAATGTCTAGGCTTGTGCAACATTAATGGACATTTCAAAAGGAGTTGGTCAATGTCAAGTGCTTTCTAACTCTCGTCGTTTTAAATGTCAAACAATTCATGAAGTGTGGATATCTTGGCTTTGACAATTTAACGTAACTTGTAGAAAAAAGCTTCTTTGGATAATGGAGAGAACTAGTGTCCCGTGAGAATTTTCGGTGATGTATTTTTGTGAAGATCAAGGCTAAAGACTTACACATTTTAATTGGCATTATCCATATTTCCTGAGTGGTGAGTCCTCAGATATAAGATGTGATATCATCGCCTGAAAATTCTTTGTTAACGATGGATAGTTGTTCCGTCAGAAACTAGAATAGGGACGGCAGTATCGGCATACCTGGTGCTTCTATGATTCTGCTTGCCTTATCAGCCCCTTCTCCATTACCTCGATGTGTTTCTGGCGCTTTACTGCACATATATGTATTTAATTTAGATTTCCCTTTCTGCTTACTTGCTTGCTTCTGACTATATTTGAAAGGCAACCAGATCACCAGTTGCCGGTGGGCAGACAGATAAAGCTTTCGGAATTTGAGCAGCGAGATTCATCTAGGGTTCCACAATTAAAATAATCAGAATTACTTTCAGGCTGAGTAATTTTTAAGTTTTCGCGGGAGTTCTTTAGAATTCGAATTTTTTGTCACATTCTAGCCACGCTAAGATGAAATCCTTTTAGTTCCTTTTCATAATCTGGAAGTACTCATTTACACTCCCATATGTCAATTTCTTCATTGCTTGTGATACCAGTATCATGAACAATTGAGAATATCATGGGTATATAACAAAGCAGTGAATGATACCACGTATAATCAGCGAGAAATAGACGTAGTGAAAATTAATATTTGTTCAGGTGATCGCTGATACTTTTCTGAATTGTCGAGTCGCTGAACTCTTCGGACGCCATGAAATGTTCGATTTCTTCAACGGTTCTCGGTACGTCGCTCATATTTTCGTTACCCTTCTCCCAAATGACAACATCGTCTTCGATACGAACCTGGACAGGGTTTTCGTTTTTTCGCTATTTTTCCATGAATTATTATGTGGATGAGCTACTACTCACGTACCCCTCCTTGGCCGCGGTACTTGTCGATTTCTGTCTTGACCATATACTTCGCCAACTTCGGATCTTTGAATGCGGCATCGAGCAGCGTATCAATAAAATAGCAACCTGGTTCGATTGTTATCACCTGCAGAATTATTATGAAAAGTATGATCACGAGTTAGTATGATTCATTCTGCAATTTCTTACTCATAACTTACCATCCTTTCTTTGAGTGTCCTAGTGGTGCGCAATGATTTCAATCCGGGTAATTGTGAGCGTGGTAATGCATCCTATTGAAACTCGTTGGTAAGGCATTTCCACTTAAGGACTACATTAGTACAGCAGAACTTACCCCAAGATATCCGCCGCAGTCGTGTACATCGAGACCAATAAGGTGGCCAAGACCATGGGGCATGAATACAGCTCCTAGTCTTGCGTTGACCATTTCATCAACATTACCTGCTTAACAGCTGGTGATTATGCTTATTTGACAGCCATGATCTATGATAACCCGAATTTGATTCAAAGCTTTTCAACAGACCCGTAAGTAGTCCCGCCTTCTGAAGGTGTGTGAGTATCACCTTCTCAGACAGAAGATGCATGTCTGTCCATCGAACACCTTAACGACGCCTATAGAATTTAGGCATTCACAAATGAATTATAAAAGAACATGCCTGGTTTTGCTACTTTGAAAACCGCTCGATTTGCTTCGAGCACAGCATTGTATACTATTTTCTGCTTCTCACTGAATTTTCCATTGGCGGGGAATGACGTGGTGACATCGGAGGCTGCATTAATGGATTCTTTTTGGGAAAGTCTGTGGCTAGGGTAATAAATTCAACATTATTGTTTTAACGGACCATAGCAATTGTACTCCGGTCCCATATCGAAAAGACACATATCGCCATCTTTGATGAGCTTATCGTTGGGAGCATTGGCATGTCCATAGTGAAGAATTGAGCTGTTACATCCTCTGAAAATGCGTTTCAATCTGAATATTCCTTCTCATTTCAGTTGTGACTGCTCGTCTTTTTTGTTTTACTACTAATCATTGTTGTTACTCGCTAAGCCTTCGTAGACAAGGATCACAAGGTGCCATTGCGCTCGGGCGGGCTGCATGGGCCCCACTTTGAATGGGTCATGTTATGCCGCACTGCGATTGCTCCTTTTGTCGCACTTTTCAAGTATGCTCCGTACAACATTTCCCACTTACAGTAATGTTTCCTAAATTCTGCGCTCATTGTGGGAGGGTAACTTCTTGCTTGTTCTTTTTGTGCGCCATTTTTGGTACATTTCGACTGGCTGGGCTGCACTGCAAGTTCTTGGACCTCAGCTCCTCTGATAGTGGTAACGATCGCACATTTTGATCAGCATAGGTGATGCAAGCAACTTATAGGTGCCATTTACGAAAAGTATCGTCGCTTGTTCCCAAACGTGGTTTATTCCTCCTTATACCCCTTCGCGTAGACCGAATTTCAGATACATACGTAAATACATGAAAGGAGCATTTGGTGAGGAATTCTTTCGAAGCCATACGGAAAACTCGATTGAAGATAAATTAAAGAATAATTTAAGATTGGATTCCTAACTTAAAAGTAAAAACTTACGTGGCTGCAACGCATGTG